CCATCATCATCATCATCATCATCACCATCATCATCATCATCATCATCACCATCATCAGAGCCAGAGACAGCTGCTCGTCAGTCAGAATTACAGAGCTGATTAAACTAAACATGACAGATGTACTGTGGAATGGTCTGATGTGATGCAGGTGTGTTGTTCACCTGCAGGAAGGCGTTCAGCTGAGTTTTACTTTTGTCTAAGAACTTCTGGTCGATGGATTTGAAGGGTAGTTTACTCAGAGATGGTAACTGGAGCTTCTTCAGTGATGGAAAACACTGAGAGAGGAAAAACACAGGCTGAAAACAGCATTTCACCARACAAAACTGAGTTACAGCATGACTTCCCAACACCTTTACAGGTTTAAGAATCACAGTTGTTAAAAACTCAAAACTAGTTTTTCTTTTTTCTGTGAAGTTTAATTGACAGTAAACCTATAACGCAGTCAGTTTTCTGTCTTTAATGCAGGACGTTCCTCCAGCTGCTGCAGTTACACACTAAGTTTTAAATGTTCAGGCTGGGAGGACATTCAAATATCACATTATTAAAACTAAACCCTTTGATTCAAGTGTCTATTTAATGATATTTTTACTATTATTAAAAAAACCTATTAGCTACTGTTGTTCCTGCGTCATTATAATAATATGACTATTTTAATGTTTTATTTCAATCTTTTATTGCACAAATACACAACTTATTTAGACATGTCTCCATCCAGTTTTAATGCTAATTTTAAGCAAAGTTTTAAAATGTTGCAAAAACAGAAATGTGCATCAGATGTGTTTTCATACTGGTTTTAGTGAATCAACCAGGCTTTGCAAAGTGTGATTACATCATGTTACACAACAGGAAGTCACACACTGACAGGAACACACCTCAGGACAATGAAGAGGTTATCAGAAACATGTTGTTGTTGTTGAGAAAGTTGTAATGTTGCTGATGTTCCTGCTGTGTGCAGACGTAAAGACGTGATTGTGTTCATGTTACAAGAATATCTGATGCTGACAGCAGGAGGACGCTCCAGCTGCAGCTCACACAATTATTACACAACAGCAACAGATGATGTTCACTACATCACAACTTATTCAGCACACGTGTTTCCAGCTCCTCTTCTGTGCATCAACTCTTTCAGAAAATCCAAAAACCACCTCAAGCTAACGTAAAAACWTTTTTTTGTATTTAGTCGTTTCCATCCAGTTCTCTAATGTCATACTTCAAAATGAGTATTAAAATAACGATGATGCAAACATGGCTGGTGAATTTTGATAAACAGGTTTTATTTAAATTTATTCATTGGATCCATTATTGATATTTAGAGGCTGAAGACTCAAGAAGTGTTGAGAGTTTAAAATCAGCAAAAACAGCAAAGAGACTTGTTTTTTAATAAGACCAGCCACACTTACCTATAACTCTAAGTAAACAGGATTATTGTGCAGAATACTAAGATTTAAGGCTGATTCTAAGCTCAGTACGGGGGGCTCACAGTGGGCTGAGAGGCTTATGGTCACACCTGGCAGGTGTAGGGCTCAAAGGGTAAATAAATATTTCCACTTGTCTTTGACTCTGGTTTAAAAAGTCCTTTCTCAAAACAGACATTTTATTTTCTTTATTAAATAAAATAATAATGTTCTTTATGTTTTGACTTATATTCTCTTTTTAACTACAAGTTATCATCATTTTATAAATCAAAGTTGTCTAATGAATTAATCTTTTACATTATACTTCAGAAAAATAAAAACACACCATGAGACATTGGTGGAAATATCCCTTTACCTGTTTTACACAAATGCTGGTTTAATCAACTATTGTCTTACAGTAAAGTGATTAAGTGTTTTTCTTTTTATTATTCCATCTAACTAAAGTTGATTGTTGAGTTTATAACTTCACTGAGTTATATTGAAATATGCTTACAGAAATATTTGAGTTTAATGATAGAGAAATATTTCTTAGATGTATTTCAGTTTAAATGATTCTTGTGCTTCACTGACCTGTAGTCCATATTTAATACACGTCACAGTTAACTTGTTGTCCCTACAAACAGGTGTAAAAATGTTTCTGCTCTGACAAGTTCTTCTGACTCAACTATTTCCACTTTCCTCCTGTTTATCCACAGAGCCACGGTTGTGTTTTTACCTTCTGTACTTTAGGTCCTAACTCATGATTTGGTTCAGTCTGAGAGTGAACAAGGAACGAGAACGAGTTGTTTTGTTTCAGGCTGATGTTCCTCCATGAAGGCAGCATTAGAAACGTCTTCTGTCTTGGTTTAAGGCACGCCAGACTTAAAGGGGACCTATTATGCAAAATTCACCTTTTAAAGGTTTTCTTTACTCAACTTTGGGTATGTACTTCTTAAAAAAACAGTCCTAGGACCAAAAAAATGCACCCAGGGGCATATTTACTGAAAGTAAATGTATTTTTAATGTATATTAATGACATTTTGTGATGTCACAAGCCGTACGACAACCCACCAGAACCTGTGTTCAGCCCCTTACCTAACAACCCCCAGGTGAGACTCCACCTCCTCAGTATAAAAACTCGTCACAGTGTTGTTGTGAAATGTGTAGCTCTGTTCACAACAAGCCTCCAACAGGGCAATGGGTAGAGTGTTGGACCAGAGAGTGGGAGACCAGGGTTTGAGACCGGCATGGACACCATCCATCCATCCATCCATC